TTGGTCACGTTCACATTAGTTTTTCTTATGAATATTGTTTCATGGAATGTACAAGGAGCCGCTTCTGACGCTTTCAGGAGGGCTTTTCTTACCTTACGGCAACAGTATGTTCCGGATGTTTTTGCTTTGCTAGAACCACGGATCAGCGGAGTGCGTGCGGACCACTTCATTAAACGGAGTGGATACGACCGATCTTTTCGGGTTGAGGCGACGGGTTTTTCGGGTGGCATTTGGGTTTTATGGAAGTCGGTGGTGGATTTACAGGTGCTGGAATGTAGTCGCCAACATGTTCATGCCCATGTACGCGTGGGGGATCACTCCTCCTTTGTCACCTTTGTCTATGCGAGTCCGAGTCCAGGCATCCAACGCTCCTTGTGGGGATCTCTTGACCATTTCGCGGCAATGGTTTCTGGCCCGTGGGTGATTGGCGGTGACTTCAACTGCCTGCTCTGGGTGTCGGAGAAGCACGGTGGCTCTTTGAGAAACTGTAATATTAGTTTGGCATTTGCTGATTAGATTTTTGATAATGATCTTCGGGAATTACGCACTGATGGGGCCACGATGACGTGGTTTCGTGGAGGATTAGCCGAGAAGTTGGATCTATGGGTTGGTAATGCAGTCTGGCTGGATAAATTTTTGGAGAGTTTGGTGTGGCACCTTCCCCGGGTCCAGTCTGATCACACGCCCTTATTACTTCGGGCAGCCCGTAGGGAGCGACAACGACATCCCAAACCGTTTCGTTTCCTTGCGGCGTGGTTGACTCATTCGGGTTTTGAGGAGCTGGTAGCCAATGCATGGTCATCGGGGGGCCCATATGAGAGCGCTGCGGGGAGTTTGAAATACACGCTCGGGTGTGGAATATGACGGTGTTTGGGAATATTTTCCGTCGAAAGAAACACGTGTTGGCTCGTATTGCAGGAATCCAACGGAGTACTCAATTCCCGAGGAATCCCTTTCTGCGTCGGCTGGCGATTGAGCTACAGGGGGAGCTGGATAGTATCCTTCTTCAGGAAGAGTTGTTAATGCTTCAGAAACTGCAGCGGGACTGGGTCTTGTTTGGGGATAGTAACACTTCTTATTATCATCGTCTGGTGAAGAATCGACGCTGTAAAAATAAGATCCTATTCTTGGTAGATAATGAGGGTCACACAATCGTGGATCGTGATCAGATGCGGCGGATGGCAGTGGAGTTCTTTAGCACTATCTATCGGGCTAGCGAGCATGGCCCCGAGTAGCACGCGCCTTCAGGATACATTCCCTGTTGTGGATGGTGCTCTGTTAAAGGTGGTCGGGCGACACGTTTTGGATGCCGAGATCCATGGGGCGATTCAGAAAATGGCGCCATTGAAGGCCCCGGGCCTTGATGGTCTTCATGCTTTGTTCTTTCAGCAGCAGTGGCATAATGTTGGGCCATCCGTCTGCACCTAAGTGCGTGAAATCTGGGGGGGTTGTGCGGTCCCGTCATCTCTAAATAGGACGCTCTTAGTTCTTATACCGAAGGTGCCCAATCCGACCTGCTTAAAGTAATTCCGCCCTATTAGCTTGTTGAATGTGGTGTACAAGGTGGTGACCAAAGTGTTAGCAGAACGAATGAAGCTTCTTTTATCGTTCTTTATTAGCCCGGCTCAAGCGAGCTTTGTCCCGGGACGGCAAATCACTGACAATATTGTCCTGGCTCAGGAAATTATCCATTCGATGCGTGGAATGAAGGGCACGATAGGCTATATGGCAGTGAAGGTTGATCTGGAAAAGGCATATGACTATCTCAACTGAGATTCTATTCGAGAATCTTTGTTGCTGGCGGGATTCCCAGTCGTTTTTGTTCGGGCGGTGATGGCATGTGTCACTTCAGCCACCATGCAGCTGCAGTGAGATGGTGGTGTCAGTGAGGAGTTCCATCCTAGTCATGGTGTTCGCCAAGGTAACCCCATTTCGCCATACTTATTTGTACTTTGCATGGAGCGTCTGGCTCATTTGATTGACTCCTCGGTGGCTGGTGGAACATGGAAGCCTTTTGCGGTAGGCAGGGGTGCGGTGACAGTGTCGTACCTCATGTTTGCAGACGATTTGTTGTTGTTCCTGGAAGCTGATCAGTCTCAGGCGGATGGCCTGCATGAGCTTTTGCGTTTGTTTTGTCAGGCCTCGGGGCTGAAAGTAAGCGAGCAAAAGACCCAAATCTTTTTTTCCCCTAATGTTGCACCAGCGACACGTTTGGCTCTGGCCCAACGGCTAGGATTCCAGGAGGTCGACAATTTGGGCAAGTATTTTGGTATGCCTCTCATTCACAGCTGGATTATTAAGGCCACGTATATGGAGCTGATTGAGAAAACGGACAGCCGCCTTGCGGGCTGGAAAGCATCGTTGCTTTCGCTGGCGGGTAGGGTCACACTGGCCCAGTCGGTTCTTGCATCTCTTCCGTATTATTCTATGCAGACCGTTTCTCTTCCCCACGGCGTGTGTGATGACCTGGAACGGAAATGTCGTAACTTCATATGGGGTGGGACGGCTTCTACGAGGAAAGTGAGTCTTGTATCTTGGTCTGAGGTGTGCCGGCCAAAATTTGATGGAGGGCTAGGGATGCACGAACAACGGTTGATGAATAAATCGTTAGTTATGAAGATGGCTTGGAAGTTCCTGACGCAGCCGGATTTGCTATGGTGTAGGGTGCTTAGGACGAAATACAAGCTTGAGCCGTGGGCGATGAGTGAGGACTTCGAATTTCCTAGGGGCTCGTTGGTTCTTCGAGCCATTCGCGATGTGTGGAAACTGATCGTATCTGGTTGTCGGTGGTCCCTCGGGGATGGTCGACGTGTTCGGTTTTGGTGGAATCTTTGGGTGGGATTATCCACATCGTTACTCTTTGTCGCGACCCGGCCGGTACCGGAGAGCTCGCTACAGGCCCCGGTTTCATTCTATGTGACGACGGATGATCGGTGGGACTAGGCCCGCTTCAAAGATTGGCTGTCGGCGTCGTGTCTTCTCCGAATAGCAGCGGTCCCACCGCCACAGGTGCAGAGGGGCGACGATCTCCCTTTCTGGGGGTGGTCGGCGGACGACCGGTTTACGACACGGTCAGCGTATCAAGCGATTTCCCAGCCCAGTCCAGCTCCTGCGTCGGGCCTCTGGCGGCTGATTTGGAAATGGCGAGGTCCTCAGAGGGTGCGACTCTTTCTTTGGTTAGCCGCCCGGGAAAGTTTGCTCACTAATATCAGCCGTATGAGACGCCATCTATCTTCGTCCTCTACCTGTCCTATCTGCCAAAGGATGGACGAATCCACTTTGCATGTGCTGCGGGATTGCGGCGTTGCGGCTTTGACGTGGAAAAGCCTTGTTCCAAAGGAGCAGTGGCAAGTCTTCTTTTCAGCGCCGATCCGAGATTGGCTTCTTCTCAACTTATCAGGCCGCCTTTTCTTGGAGCATAACGATTGGCCGACCCTTTTCGGATTGACGGCTTGGAGGCTGTGGCATTGGAGAAATATTCAAGTATTTGAAGGGTGCAATAGGCCGGTGAAGGGTCGTGTTCGGGAGGTGCTCCCGTACGCTGCTAGTGTGGGTGCTGCCGTGGACAGTAGCCACCGCCTGGGTGCATGCGTTAAACGGGAGTTGCGTTGGATTTCGTGGTCACCCCTGCCATTGGAGACTCTTAAAGTGAATACGGACGGAAGCCGCGTCCCGTCTACTAGAATGGCTAGTGCCGCGGGGTCATCCGGGACTACTGTGGCAGGTGGGTCCATGGGTTTATGATGAATATTGGATACTGCTCTATCGTGGGAGCTGAACTATGGGGTCTGCTCCAGGGATTGCAACTGGCGTGGGATATTGGGGCTTGTAGGATTATTGCAGAGGTTGATAGCCAGACTATTTTATCGATGGTTGGTCAGGAGGATATTTCTGGGCCGCATAGCAGTCTTGTTCGTGGCATTCGAGAGTTGCTTAATTGAGCCAGTGAGGTTGAGCTCGTACATGGACATCGTGAGACCAATTTCGTCGCAGATTTTCTTGCATCGTTAGCGGCTCAAGGAGTGGGTGGTTTGCACCGTTTTGAGAGGCCTCCGGATGGGGCGAGTTGGTGGTTATCTCACGATAATGCGGGGTGTCCCACCCCCGTAGTGTCGTGATCAAGCGTTAGTGTTAGCGCTTCCTTTTTTGTACCAAAAAAAAAGTCATATTTTTCGATTATTAGATGGGTCGCTCAATTCTACATTTGTTGTAAAAATGCATGTTTACGTTATGAAATGTCATATTTTTATTTATATAACGGTTAGACACGTTGGTGTGCATATTATTTCAACAAAAATGAAGGAAATTGTATGTATATTCAAGATTATTCATTAATCAATTAACGAAGGAAATTTCGTAACCACATTGGACATTTGGAATTTGACATTTTATATATAGGTGTATAATTTCTTCATATCTTTCACATTTGATAGGCAAAAATGACATGTGACATGTTGACCTCAAATGGGAGACTTGAAGTTGTGAAACTCTTCAATTCATTCTCTTAGACGCAAGAAAATAGTATGTTGTAGGCTTCTAGCTAACACACTTTAAATCAAGATGAGCATTCAAATTTTAGGGAATTCTACGATACGTTACGGAACTATTCAATCGAAGTTTATAACCGTTAAATCAACTATCCACAACAATTACATGATGATTTTAACGGTTAAATCTCAACGGAATAGTTCTGTAACGAAACTGTAGCGCATTTTCCCAAATTTTAATGTGTCAAAAACAAAAAAAACAAGAAACAAAAAAACAAAAACAAAAACAAAAAAACACGAAAACTTCAGTTATGTACTGATGTTTAATCTAAGAAATGCCTACAACATATTCTACTGCATTTACACCAATGAGTCAAAATAACATCGCTTCAACAACTAGAAATGTCAGCATAAATAATCACATCTTAAAGTTTATCCGATTGATCAGAATATCTCTAAACATTTTCCTGTCCGTAATTGCTTCTCTGGCGTTTAACTGCAATAAAAGTATCAAAATAAAGAAAACTACTCGTCAACCAAGATAATGCAATATACAACACATAATACGAGTCGAAGGAACGTTATAATTGGAAAAGAAAATTACCAGGGCTAACGATGGTGACACGTTTAGTAACCGATCGCATGGCAGTAACAGTATCTGAACCTGCTTGCATATAAGTAGAAACAACTTATAGTGTTAGAACACTAGATAACATCGGACCAAAGGTCCAAAACAAAACACGAATAACTTCAAAATTCTTACCCACGCAAATCATATCCGGTGTGACTTGTCTAGAACCCATTTCAGCTTTGTCTGCTTTAGAAGGCGACCTGCATTTGCCAAATTGAAAATTCCATTTGATAAATGAAGAGTTGTTCAATTAGTAAACAATGACATTAGTCTACTAGTTATTACCATGAGTGACAATCTGGAGATGAATAATTCAGTGCTTGATTTGAAGGCAAATTACCCAATCCTTCACTCGACATATCTAAATCAACCAGAAATTCTGAAAGATTGAAGTCCAAGCCTAAAGCATCCAAGTCCAAGTCAAGAATATCCCCTCCCTCAGATTCAGACGTTAATGTCCCGTTCGGGCTTAAGTTCTCTGCGATCATCGGCATTTCAGAAGTTCCAAAATCCAGTCTCCCCCTGACATGATCTTTTTTTGTGCTAGAAGAACCCTTCGTGTTTGCCTTCAGCGGGGAACAAGTTATTTGGTTTTTCTCTATCGAGTAATAAGATATTTGCTTGTTGGGGCTGACCCGTATTGTTTCTGCAGATATTATTGTCGTGCAGTTAGAAGACATGACCTGAGGAGAGGTATTATTATTGCCTTTAACAGATGTAGCAGTCGAACAAGCTTCAAACGGTGAACCAGATTTCTCGGTTTGGGATGAAGAAGCTCGTGTGGGAGTTTTAGGAACAGATGCATTGGGTGGAGTAGAAAGAGGTTCGTGATTGAAAAGGCATTTTACGACATTTGACCCTTGCATAAGAGCATTATCACAAGCACATGACTGAGCTGCAGAATTAAGTGGAGGTTTCTCTTGGTTGCTTTGTGCACAACTCGATTTTGTAGCTAAACTAATATCTACAAAAATATATGAGAAAATATGAGCACTCGGGGGAATAATAAAATAGAAGTTGTTTTTTTTCAATCGAAGGATTTACCTCTGTTTTGTGGGCCCTTGCGAGATTTCTTCGAAACCACAGGGCGATGGGGAATATCTATGGACTCTTTCCTTTTTGCAGTTGCATGATCTTTCTGAATGTTTGAGGGCTTTGTTGTGGACATCAAAGCCGGACTGTTGTACATAGGATGTTGGCCTGAAGAGAAAGGCAAATAACAATAACATATTAATGTGGCTGCATGAAGCATTTATCAAGACAGCATCAAATCAGATTATGCATTGCAGACTGCAAACAGACATTTCCATCTCCAAGACTATTTTTTCCTTTATATGGTTAAACTGCAAACCAAGTTCCATGTCATTAATTCTTCTAAATCGACAAACTTGGTGGACTTACATCATGGCTTCATGGTTGAATTAATAACCCGCACCTTGCTCAGAGCATAAAGTAGTCCAGCCTCACGAATGGAGTAATAGGACACAATTTATGGAGTCATTATATGAAGGTATATTTTGTATCTGGAGTAGTAATATGGAGTTCTATAATTACTACAGATACAAAAACTCACCCAACAGCTAACAGAAATGTTTATGCCGAGCTACATCAATCGTCAAAAAAATGATGACACGTATTCCCAAGTTGGATAGTTGAAAAGTTAACTGTTAGGCACATTATGTGGAATTTTGATCCAACAAGAAACTACAGACCCTGTTTGCCGGTGCAGATCACAAACATATTAACTCTAGAGGCTATCAAACAAACTCGAAGCTGCCGAGCAAGAACATACAAGACAACATGTGTACAAACAATATGGAGGCAGAGAAAATAATTAGTGGGACATGTGTTATTTTGCATGTAATCCTTAGCTGAAACAATAACACATCTGATAGGCGTAAATAAAGTGTAAGATTTCTGCAGTTTGAACAGTGCTTAGATACAATTTATAACTATAAGAACTCAATCAAAGTACAAACTATCCTTCTACTCATCTAATACTCAGCTCATTAGCCTAATTACTACAAACTTCTTCTTAGATTCCTAACCATTTCTAAATATATCATGATAAAACGAATAGCAAGAAGCAATTAACAATTCATAACATCCACTGATTTATTCGCGTGTGGTTTTCGCTACAAATTGCATAAAACAACACATACTGAGCTAAAATCTTAAATTAGGGCTAAATTCATAGCTCATTTAAGTCAATACCAAATCATACAATAATCAAACAACTGGCAAACGAATTACTTACCTGCGGGCCTTGCAACACCAGTCTCAGCCTGAGAAGCCATGACCGCAGATCCACCGGCAGCCAGAGGCAGCGGCTGTGGCGGGGTAACAGCAGCATTTTCGCCGGAGTTGTAAACATTCATCACGCTCTGCATCCCACTCAACAAATTGTGCACCCTCAGCTTCTCCTGCTCCAAACGACGCCGTTCATGGTCCACCCAAACCTTCTGCTCCTTGAGCGTTATGTACTCGTCCAGAATCGCGTCTAAGCTCAACAAGCTCTTTGGAACCTGAAAGAGAGAATCAATCGTCAACTACAAATTATTAAATACAGAAAAAAGGGGGACAAACAGGTGAAACTAAAGATAAAAAATAAAAATAAAAATAAAAATTTACTTCTTGCACTTGAAATTTGGGGATAAGGCTTGAAGCATCAGACCGAAAAGCAGTGCGCGCATCGGCGTAATTGTTGTCGGAAAGGTAACGATCTACAATGAACGCGATCTGGGCCGGAGTTACTTTTCCTTTGCCGGCTGTCTCTTGTTCTTTCGAGCGGCTTGGCTTTCCTATTTTCGCCATTTTCGTTCTCTCTCTCTCTCCTCTCTCTCTCTCTCGGCCCTAATTTGAGAAACTGCAGAAGGTCGAATAGTATTGAATGGCGTTCGAGGGAGAAGAAAAATGGAGGAGAAGGAGAGGATGACGCGGGAGAATTTCAAATTTTTTGGAGGTAAAACTTGCTTTTTTTTTTGGCTCTGTGTTAATGGCTGGTTGGGTTTTTTAGCGGTTAAATTTTGCGGGTTTTCTGTTTTTTGTTCTTTTGTTTTCCCTCCATTTTTTCTTTTGTGATTTTCGTTTGCGTGAAATAATTCACTAAATTTGTGTAAGTGTACCAATTCGCCTGGAGAGCCCAATAATGTTTCCACAAAGAAAGACCCATTTTTTAGTGGGCTGGGCTGGGCTGGCCTGGCCTTAATAAGCCCATCAACAAAATTCCTGAAAATTGGCCGCTAGGGTTTCCGTCGCGCCCCCTTTTAATATCCACTCGACGCCACTAAAATCAAACTTCACTGCATTTGTTCATGAAAATTCATCTGCTTCATCACAACTTTTTTTTCCTTTTTTTTTTTAATATGATTTTTTGTTACTGTATTTGGATCGATGATGTGTTGAATTATACTGCGTTATCTATCCGATTATTTCCTGTTTGGAAATGAAGATAGCTTTTTTTTAATCCTTGCTGAGATCCTATGATGGATAAATAAATATACTCCTTAAATTTTTTTTTTTATTTATTTTTTGTTATATTTAAAGGAGCATCAGAGATGAGAGCTGATTAAAATCGTCATCCTTGCACTTTGATTGTCAGTGAAGATAAAATTATGGGGAATTTACAGTCTGAGATGCTCACTTTATTTATTTATTTATTATTTATTATTTCGTGGTTTATTTTCATTTGATTTTTAAGTTATGTTATGGATCGATGATGTGAAAAAAAATTACGCGCTGTCTGTCTGCAATTTCCTTTTTGGGAAAATTGATGATATTTAAGTAATCCTGAGATCTATAATTTTTTATTTTTTTTTTCGAAAATGAATTATATTGGAAGCTCTTTAAATTGTAAAAACTTGAACACTCTAAGCTCGAACTCGGCTCGGCTCGTTTACGGTTCTATTTGGATAATAAAGCCTTTTTGTGTGTTTCAGTTTTGTTCTCTTGGTGGATGTTAGAGTTCATTTGGTAAAAACTGACACCGAAAACTAAAATCCTAAATTTGTTAACCGAACCGTACAACAAGAGAACGAAAAACCAAACCGAACTGAATTTGGTTCGTCTAGGTTGTTTTGGTTAACCATAGTTGATGAAGTTTGCAAATCATACTTCAAACAATAGAAAATAAATCAAAAGTACCAGACTTTAGCATCAACAAACATAAGTACAATAAAACACAACATTAAAGTACTAGACTTTAAGCATCAGTTTAACATAATTGCAGTAAAACACAACATCCCTAAACATCTATCTTTATGAATCATAGGTCTCCATTTTACTATATACTAAGTAAGACTACAACCATTCAAGTGGGAAGTAGGTTATTGTAGGGTTTTTGATTACTTATTTGCGGTTAGGCTAAAATTGCACCGCTCATACTTGAAAGTCGAACAACGGTTTGAAACATTTGTGATTTTTTAAATTTCAAATTGCATCACAAACCGAAACATTTAAAACTGCACTGCATTGAATGCATCGGTTCGGTTTGGATTTTCGAGTTTGATGCGGTTTTTCTCTCCCCTAGCTATATTAGTAGGTTAAAAGAGTTTTTAAATGTTATTGTATTAAAGAAAAGATGGAAATATTTTGATTTACATTTGTTTGATTTATTATTTTGTAAAATTTTATTTTTTAATAAGAAATATCAATTATGTGTAATTAGGTAACAATACTTACAATAATTCATTTACATAAAGTATGGATTTAAACTAAAAAGATGGATTGGACATGGATCAAAAAATATACTGTATTTTTTTCTTTAATTCAATCATTTTTTTAACTTAATTTCAACTATATATCACAATTATCAATATCAATCATTGTTACATATCACATCAACTTTAATTCATTATTAATTAATTCACATAATTTAAATTAATCATTATTTCAAATTATCTCTCTCATACTTTAAATCAAATAAGTTTTAATTATTTTATTTTATATAATAATTATGATTTACATACAAAACTTTTCAAAAATTAATTATGATTTACAAAA